TATATATATAAACGTAACTATCCTTGCCCTCTTTCATTCAGTGTCATCCTCAGTGACATAGGAGTAACGGCTTCCTCACAAATGCCATCAAAGTGCTGCCTCCTCCCTGTTTGTTCCCCATAGAGGTCCATTTAAATCGGCTCCCAAATTTCAGCTCACTGAAATTCTTTACACTGTCACCACATCCATATAATAAACTCTACAGATATGAAAATTGAATATTTTGTAGACTGGAAGTGGCTTTCAGTCACGGTGAAGAAATCTTTGCGATACAAATTATAGTTTTCTCTAGGAAAACATTTTTTTCAGAGCTTAAATCCTGTTTGCCCTGTGTGTCTGACCCTAAGGTGCAGAAGAGTGTGTATTCCATCACCCCCTTCCGCTGTCTAGTTTTAATTACTGTCTCTTATAATGGTATGGAGGGCACATGTTAGAACCAAGATTTAGGAAAATCAGAGCAAGTATGAAAACACTCACTCTTGTGGAGTATCCTAAAATCATCGGAGTCCAGTATTTGCTCATCCTCTCTGTACCACATAACCTGCAGGGGCGGAGTCCCCCTCAGTCTGCACTCCAGGACCACCAGCTGACCCTTCACCGTAGACACATCGTGGAGACACTGGCAGAGGGAGCAATGATGACCATGATCAAGAGAAGGTATGACAACAGGTTCATATGAGTACGGTTTCTGATTTTCTTTGTGCACTTTCATGAACAAATACAAGAGTGCACATTTATTTCACCTTAACAAATGTGGGAGCCACTGCGCTGCTTGAATGCTGCTGGTTGTAAATGGGACTCTGAGTCTGGGGAAATGGAATAATATAAATCACCTAATATGTTTGAAAATCATTTGCCATGTCTATTTCTTTATTTAGAAAAAGGTTGCTTTCAACATTACAGGACATTAAAATGACATTTAGCTATTTAACCAGTTTATCCCCATAATGAAACATACTCGTGTGTTTTATCGAATGAGGTGAAATGACTCATTTTAAATGGCTGTAATTACCCTCTGAGGGCTGACACACAGCGGCTGCACCAGGCTGGAGTGTCTCTGACCGAGGAGAGTGGAGGAGCAGGAGGAGAGCTCACGAGTGGAGGATGCAGCAGCAGAGGAGGAGGAGATGGTCAGAGACATGGTGCTCGTCTTCTTCTGCACCTTCTGGACTCTAATCGCCAATAATGAAATGAATAAATCTATGTTTGGATGCTTCCTCGGGTTGTGAGGACATAAGTCTGTATACAGAGTCACACTGTGGGGATTCTTTCCTTAATGTTAAGGACAAAAAGTAAGTCTCCATCTTACAATCATTAGAAATGTAAAGTAAAGATTTAGGATAAAATTAGGTTAAATTGTGTCAAGTATTACTTATGGTTCATGAAAAGGAAACGTGTGTTTGTGTGCAGGTCTAACTTACTGTTCCATGTTCCAGGCTGCAGTGACAGAGGTCCTGCAAAGACAAAGGGACACTCTCAAACATGCTGTGCTACAGTGTTGTAGAAATGAGTGTCTGCAGGTATGACTGAACACATACATTTCATTTTACAAAGCACCAGCACAGACTTGTAGCCACTAATAAGATGTTAATCAAGAATTAGATTCCAACCCATTAAATCATATTAATTCAATGTTTTTTCCAACAGTTCGAAACACGGTTCAGTTTTTGTTTGCTTCTGCACACGAGTCACATGTGCAGTGGGGAAGTAATTATGTGATCTCCTGCTGAATTTGTGAGTTTACTCACAAAGATGTGAACAGTCTCTAATTTGAAGGTAGTTTCATTTCATTTAATAAACATGACTTAATACTTGGCTTAGAAACCCTTGCTGGCGAGCACAATGGTGAGGCGTTTCATGTAGTTGTTCAGCAGGTTTGCACACGTCTCAGGACGGATTTTGGTCCACTCCTCTTTACAGAAACTCTCTAAATCCTTTAGATTTCTTGGCTGCTGCTCAGCAACTCAAAGCTTCACGTTCCTCCATAGATTTTCTGTCAGACTGAGCTCTGGAGACAGGCTCAGCCACTCCATGACATGGCGGTATGTTTTGGGTCAGTATCAGGCTGGAAGACCCATCCATGACCCATCTTCAATGTTCTGGCTGTTGGTTTTATGGTTCATTGCTCCATCCATTGGCCTCTTAATGGGGCTTAATGTTAGTCAAGCTGTCCTGTACCCTTAGCAGAAAAACAGGTTCAAACAGGTGTGCTGGAGTGTTGGGATGGTTGTCTTTGGGTCACACACATTCTCACATTTTTGATTTCTGCCAACCCTTCACTGAATCATTTATATGTTCACTGGCAAACTTAAAACGGGCCTGTATATGTGCCTTCTTGAGCAGGGTGACTTTGCATCGCAAGATTTCAATCCATTATAGCGCACTGATGGTCTTTTAGTCCAGTCCAGCCTTGTGCAGGTCTACAGCCTTGTCCCTGACGTCCTTTGGCAGCTCTCTGGTGTTGCCCGTGGTGATGGAGAGGTTGGAATGGAAGAAACTGATCATGTGGACGGGTGTGCTTTATACATACGAGTTGAGATCAAGCGAATCTGTAACTGATCGACTGGTAGGTTGATTGAGCCAATCTGTGGGAGCTTGTTCTGACTGCATTTTAGGGGATGAAATACTTCTTTCTGTCTTTGGTCGATAACCTGTCTCTTTCCATTAAATTCCAACAAGCATAAAATTTAAAAACTATTCATTTCCTTGTACATGAGCAGACTTAAAAATTCAGCCAGAGATCAAATAATTATTTCCTGGATTGTAAGCCTCCTTTCTGCTGTCTTTCTGTTTTGTGTAAACCATCAAATAAGTAACACATTTTTGGATTAATGCTGAACATGTGTAGGCCTATAAACAAAACTGATGTCGGCACTGGTATCAGTAAAATCTTAAAAGTTCTGAGAGCATCCCTGGCCAGAAAACGCCTCAGACAAATGCTTGAGATTAAAGCTGGATGAGCCCCTGTTTAAAAAAGACACACAGTCGGGTGTTGATTAAAACAACATCTTGGCAGGACTGTACGTCACGTTTGGATCAATGAACGTGCACAAAGCCTATGTAATTATGAGATTTCACGTCTAGTGAATCTTTAGACAAGTTTAATTTATAGACTGTATAAAAAAAGATGTGCCTTAAATCTGCATTCTTCCAAATGGCCAGAATGGAGAGAACTATCTTACTGCAACAAGAAGAAGTTTTGTCCAAATGATAGTAAAACAGATAATAAGGCAGGACGGAGCTACTTTGTAACTGACGAGCTGTTCGTTTCACAGTCACTTCCACCCCTCATTTATAATACTGAACTCAAAGCTTCCAAACAGGATTTCACAACTAATTAACACACAACACTTTGTTTGCCTTGAATTAAATTTTACAGCCACATTTGCCTCAACGCAAATTATATTGTACGGTAAAGACCTTAGAGAGAAAACCCAACAATCAGACAATCCCCTCTGAGGAAGACCTTGGCAACAGTGGGAAGAAAAAACTCCCTTTTAACAGGAAGAAACCTCCAGCAGTTATATTTAATACAGCTAAATTCAAGCTTGATTACATGCATTTCTATTGATCTGTTGCTTCTTTCAGGTGGTGATATACAAACACAGTAATGTTTTGTATTACTATTTATCATCCCCAAACAAATGAATGGTCACGCACGCTTACGCAGACTCAAAGTTAGACGTGGAAACATATAAGCTTAAACGCTTGAGCTCACACACTGGATTCCTCAAACAGGGCACCAAATCACTCTTGCAACAGGTCACTGTTTCTCCATGACTTTGTTTGGCAACAGCATGGCCATATCTGAGCTAACTGAAGGCATAAGGAGACTCATACACCCAAAAGACTCCCTCAGATCTCAGCCTTCCGGCCTTGGAGGTCTGTCTTGGTTTCAGAGAAGGAGCTGCCTGAGGTTCAGGTTTCTGGGCTAAATTAAACTTTGTCACCTCCTAAGCACTGCACAGACTGTCTGAGCTGTGATAAATCAACGCATCTCCATGTCGAAGTCGCAGAGGTAAAGAAAAGTCTTTACTCTAGAATTATATACATTTAATCTACAACAGTACATCTTAGCTGGGTTACTATTTGTACTAGTTGTGCTACATGGGGTCACAGCAGTCAAATAAACACAGCCTAAACATTGTCTAAATGAGAGGATCACAGCTTAAGAAAGAAGAAACAACTAAGGCATGTATGACATCCGTGTGTACATCCAGTTTTCCCCTCACATAATCACTCCAAACAGCTGTGTGTGCGCGTACTAAAGCCCACTGCTGATACAACAGCAACTGTTGCTAAACCCTTTGGATCAATTGTCTCTCTTATATAACTGCAGAATTTGTGGCAGCGACAACAGGACAAGTTCATGCAGTGCAACAAATCCACTACCTGGCAAGCAACAGATGGACAGAGGCACACAAGCAGTGACAGCCAAGTTCAGTGACGTCCCAAACAAGGATGTAACATTGATATTATCCGACGACAGGCAAATCAAAGACACGGGTGACAGTGGCATCCTTTTTGCTTTAGTGTAGGTGAAGACTGAGCAGTATTAGACCCTACATTTCCCATAATGCAACTTGCTGGAGGCTTCTCAGTATGACCTCCCTCCCTGGGTGTCCGATGTAGACTGTCATGCCTTCAGATTATTAAGTTTTTCTAAGTGCCTAAAGTTTAAAGTGAGACGAAAGGACGTCCAGACTGACAGAAGATGTTAAAACATGAATCCAAAGGAGAGCAAACATCATCACTAGATCGTCCAGAAGCTTATTGCCAGTTGGCCTTTAGCAGCCCTCAAAGAGGAAAGATGCTACCCATCTCAGACCTCCTGTTTCCCTGAAGCCATACCCAGTAAAACATGGCCAGGAGTTCGGTGGGCTCCTGCACCAGAGCTCTGAATACAGTGACTGGTCTGTGTGGTGAGAAGCATTAATACAGTATAATGCATATGTAAAATCACATATCTTTAGACCAATCGTAGGTCCCTATTACTGCAGACTGCTACTCTGAACATTTGCATGTAATTTGTCAATATGGCTTGCTAATGTGTATGGCACACGACTCCATGTTGCTCACTGATGTGTCAATGAAGAATCATGGCTGGTATTTTTAACAGCATGTTGAGCCCACTGATTCTGTAACACGGGGAAAGAGGAAGATGGCTGCACTCTGTCTGAGTTCAGTATTCCAGTAAGTGCATTTCCAGTGCACCTGTTCTCACCTGACAGGAGAAAGCCAGCCTTTGGAGATGAGTCATGGTGATGACTGTTTGTCATTTGGTTTGCTATTAAAAACGGTGAGTGGTGATAGTTAACAGGTGCCACAAACGTATCCTCCAACCTGTGTTATTAGCATAAATGATCTATTTTATACACTAACAGCATGTATAGATGTGTCATTTACAGTTATCAAAGAAAACTGAGCTGTCCTGCAGTCGACGAGGAGATTCTGACAAACAGGAAGAAACAGCCAGCCTTGCTCATTTAAACAGATCCCTCATTGGTGTACACAACACCATGAAGCTTTCAGCCACTAGCAGCTCTCAGCTGTGGACAGGAGTGGCACATTAGAGCAGAAATCCAGAATGAAGTGGACCGTGTTAAAATTAGCTAACAAAGCAACCTTTATATAAACCTGTGGGCTTTGAAAAGTACCCTCCAAAAATCTAGAGTAATGTATTAACCACTGAATGTAGGAGGTTTATAACAGGCTAAGCAAAATGCACAAACACAAACATCATGTTAAACTTTTTCCATACATCTCTGTGACCAGACCAAGAGCACACCAGCAAAGAGAAAAGATACAAAAAGGCACACACTGTTGCTTTACTCAGTTGTAATGATAAAAGTAGCATTACATGATGCATACTGCACACAGCTATTATTAGTTATTTATGAAAAACTGAAACTATAAATCTAGTACTATTCATTGTTGTACATTAAGAAATATATTTAATACATGGGTCTTTCCAGGAAATATCTTTGTAATTAATAGAAGACTCTTAAGTAAGTGAATGTAGCATTAGTGTCAGTTTATACTGTATATGATATGATGTTTTGTGATAGCAGCAGGATATGATAAGGAATTAAATTGTATCTTCTCTAACAGCATGAATCTTGGTTCACTCCAGCGTTTCTCTGAGACTGTTCAGATACAGTAGTAATTTAAGCTAAATGCTAATATTGGTAACAATGGTTGTTTTGGTGCGTTCCAAAATAAGTCAGAATTCGGATATTTGACATTCCCAGTTGGAAATTTTTTGCGGAATTCAGAGCAGACCAACATACCCAACATAGTTGTTGGGTATGTTGGTCTGTAATGTTGTGGGGATGGAGCTGGACTCCCTTAAAGTGGTGTTGGAGAGGCGGATGTTGTCCAAGATAAAGACAATGTTGGATAACACCAAATAATTACCAAAAATCACCACTGAACCACACAGGAAATCATTCCTGCCTGTTGCTCCCTGTACAACTCATCTACTTAACACACTGTATACTGCAATAGCTACACCCTTTTTGCACATGCTCTTCTTTCTTATTCAGCCATTTAGCAATAAGTGACTTAATTTTTTAGTGAAGAGGTGATTTCAAAGGCCAACTCTTTGTAAAGGGACTACTGATAACAAAGAGAAATTACGTTTTGAATTTTCTCAGTTGCATCACTCCAGAAACCGTCCTAGTCCTCAACCTATGACTCTCCAATTCTCCTACCTCCTCAGCTTGGCTGTGCACAGGACCAATTTAGCACAGACTGGGTCACCTGATCTCTCTTTTAGCCAACCAGAACCCAGTGGCTGAACACAGTGTCACACAGGCATGCCAGGCTTGTACACACACACACAGCTCAAATTTGGCTGGTATGTCTTATGTTGCCTCACACTGCAGGACATGTAACTGACACAGTTCCTTTTTTTATTTATACCCTTTAAATTCCCCTCTTCATTTGCTGCACTGGATATCCTATGTGGATAGTTTGCACCAATATCTTTGAGTGTGCCTATATATTTTTCAAAGACTATCATTGTGCTAATTTAAAGATGCGCATTGGGATGTTCTTTTTTGATATATGCCGTTTTGTAACAGTAACTACAAAGAATCTTTAGTGGTGTCACTAGAAGCTGAAGGCAGCCAGGGGAAAGTAAGTAGGTAGATCAACAGATGGATAGGCGAGTAGAAAGGTAGGTTATTAGATAAGCATGTAGGTAGGAAGTTACATAGCTACAAAGGTTGGTAGTTAAAATAATAGCGTGTCGAGGTAACTATTGTCAATGAAATATAGCTAGATAGCACATGACGCAGCATATAAATTATAAATAACTTTAGACAGATCATTCCAGCTGTCCTCTTCCTTCTGGCTGCAAACTCAGTCACTCCAGTACTGCCTGCAGTATCAGGATCTCATTGGCCATGGACCAAATGAATTACACCATTTGATGATCTGATTAACTTGACTTTTGCTTTCTCTTTTCTTTGAATCCTGACAAGGAGCAGGGCTTGAAGCATGCCACACATGCTGGACTTACACTTTTGCGAAACTTTCTGGATGTCTCTACCAAAAAGCTAATGATCTGAAATGCAAGCTGGGTTGCACAAGTTCCTCCATGCTGTAATTGTGTGTCATATGCTCCTAGCTTAATTTAGACAAGCAACAGGCAGCTCTGCATCCTCAACACAATCTTTAACCCATCTGAAGTGAACTTCCGCAAAAATATCCCCATCCTTACCTGTCTGCTTTATCCCCAGCAGGCCACAAAACCAAGAATAACAACAAATATATTGATCCAACAAGCAGAAAATCCAAATGTTAAAACCAAAACTGCTATATGACTGTGTGGCTGCCAGTCATGGCTTGGTTACTGGACGCTCCACAAGCAGGAGCTTGTGTGTGTGTGTTGAAGAGGTTGGGGTGTGGGACGGGGTTAGGGGGGAATCTGAGGCTGAGGAGGGGGGGTGAGAGGAAGCCACGTGGGGTTTGGTTAGAGGGGTACGGAAGGAGCAAATTTAGAGCAGAGTGAAGTGTTAATTAATGGTCAAAGAGAATAGGGAAGCTCAAGTCTGCCCCAGCCGGTGCCTCATGCCTTTGTGCTAATGTGCACAGCTAATGCCAAATCCAAATGACCATGGATAGCTGACACAGAGCTAGCTTGTTGCACGTTGCTGCACAAACTATAAAGATATATTGTTCCATCTGAAATTACAAAAAGTGGCGGAGGCGTCATGACCGGACCAAACTTCATCCAAGTGTGAGAGACAGGGGCCAGAAAACCTGCAACCGGTGCCAGTGAGTCTTTGGGTAGAAACCTGAGAACCAGAGAGAGTCGGACAGATGGAGGGAGACGTGAATACACAACCTTGGAAAACAGATCACACTCAAGCTCAGCTCATCATGGCTTTATTCATCATATTTCACATAGATCTAACTGATGCAATATACTGAGTACATCAAACAGAATCATCTCATTCCAAAAGGCTTCACTTATTAAAGTAATGGACATAGAAGCTTCTGGGATAGTTTAAAATACATGCCTGAATATGCAAAACCTACATTGATCCATACAGGATCCCTACAGGTCCTCTGCGAGGGGTCTGGGAGCTCGCACGCCTTGTACAGCATCTTTGCTGTTTCTACGACTGCGCTCTTGCTCTTCTGGACAGAGATTTTCAATGTTGTTCCCTGTCACTATCGCCCCCTGTCACTATAACTAGTGCTCTGCTGGGACCACTGCTACCTTCACCCTCCACATCTTCTCGAGCTCTTCTCTGAGCCCTTGGTACTTCTCCAGCTTCTTGTGTTCCTTCTTCCTGATGTTGCTGTCATTCGGTATCACTACGGCGCTCTTCCTCTGCTTGTCCACCACTACTATGTCCTGTTGGTTAGCCATGACCACTTTGCCCGTCTGAATTACGAAGTCCCACAGGATCGTAGCTCGGTCATTCTCCACCACCCTAGGTGGCGTCTTCCATTTTGACTTCAAGACTTCCAGGTTCTACTTGGCACAGATGTTCCTGTACACTATGCCGGCCACTTGGTTGTGGCGTTCCTATGTATGCCCTGCCTGCTAGCATCTTGCACCCTGCTGTTATGTGCTGGATTGTCTCTGGGGCATCTTTACACAGCCTGCACCTGGGGTCTTGCCTGCTGTGATAGACCCCAGCCTCTATGGATCTTGTGCTTAGAGCTTGTTCCTGTGCTGCCATGATTAGTGCCTCTGTGCTGTCAGTCCAGCTTTGTCCAGCCACTGGTAGGACTTCTGGATGTCAGCAACTTCCTCTATCTGCCAGTGGTACATACCGTGCAGGGGCCTGTCCTTCCACGATGGTTCTTCTCCTTGGTCCTCTTCTCTCTCAGGTTTCTGCTGCTTGAGATAAGCTCCAAGCACAAGGTCAGTTGTGGCCTGATGAAATCATGGATGTTCGTCGTCTCATCCTGGACAGTTGTTCTGACTCTCACTGGTCCTCGGCTTTCTTCGTTCCACTTGGCGCACAGTGTCAAAGTGCTGGATTTGGGGTGAAACCGTCCATGCATGGTAAGGAGCTTGCATGTCTCGATGTTAGTGGCTTCTATCCCCACTTCAGTGTTGGCCAACAGGAATCTGAGTCTAATAAAATGATCCTTTCTAAATGGGAAATGCATTAAAAACATATATGTGATATTCTTTTTCTTTTCAGTATATTAGAGTCATCATTAGAAAATGAGTGACAGAATGTTTCTGTTGATGCCAACAAGGACAAACACAACATATTTTGTCACTTTGACAGATGCAGTGTGATCAGAAATATCAGCGTGCAAATCAACCCATCAGTGGATTAAATAAAGTCGTCCTATCAGTGAAAACTAGAAAGAAACAGACGATACTTGATTCAACATATTTATTGTGGCCTCACCGTTTTACATGGAAACACGAGTTAGTGTGCGTTCGTATCAAAGCATGAGGGGTACAGTGTACAATGCATAAAACAAAGGTCCAGTGCAAAAATATACCAAAGTATCAAAAGAATTATCTTATAAATGATACAGGAGCAGACAGATATATTTTCAGATATTTAGCCATATAATATTTGGTCTTATATAATCTCAAAACAACGGTTCTGTGGGTCAAATAACACCAAAAACTTCCAACTAAAGAATAAAGTCAGACTACCATGTATGTAACATGTAATTAGTTGGATTTTGGAAAATATCACCCCCCCAAAATTCACCAGGAAAATCATTTTGCTTATTGATGAATGACGCAATAAATGTCAATATTTAATCTTAAAAGGCCAATGTATGCAGTCAGCACCCCTTTCACATCCTCTTCCTCCTTCTCTTCATCACAACCAAAGCTATATAGATATCTAAACATATGTTCTAGGTATTATTTAAAGAAATTAAGCCTCTTGAAGCCTCTTCCTCGCTCCTCCTATTGACACTTGACTAAAACCTCCTAACTACCTCCTCCAACTTTGTCCTTCCTTTCCTTGAAGACTGAATTCTGCCTTTTTAAACACCAGTTTTCATCACACTCTCCCACACATCACATCCACAGGGTGGAAAACAACAGCTGACACTTAAGTGAATACTGCAAAAAATGCAAGCTGCTTTGTATTATTTTTTTTCGTCCTGTATCATGCTTCATCCCACTTTGCAACACAATCTGGAGAAATAACGAGGTTGGGCTAAATGTTTGGGTCCATCTCCATCAATTAAACCTTACTTTTAATCTGAAAAGCTGTGCAAATCTACTTGGTGCAAATAAAGATGTGCAATCTGATGCGACAGGTCTCCGTGAACCGAACTGAAATAAAAGGAAGCGGACGTGGGAAGCTAAAGAGACAGCCAGGGGTGGGAGCATGAAGCTGAAGATGGGGAAAAGATGCCAAGGGGATGAAAAGTGGCAGCAAGAGGAAACGAGTTGTGAAAAGTGAGAGAAAGAGAGTTTGTGGGAGAGTTAAGGATGTGAGTCACCACAGGCCTGATACAGAATCTATCACGTTTTTAACCAGTGGAAGGTGTAGGAGGAAGTGCGCTGTTCCCTCGCTCTCTCATTAGTGATACAGCGATCGTCCAGTGCTAAGCAACAGGGAGCAGAGAGTGGCAGCAGCAGACACTTTGCTTCAAATAAACCAGAAAAATATCCTCATTCTCTAAAAGAGTAGCTTAAGATCATAAATGGATAAACCCTGATAAAAAGGAAACTGTTATTAGGTGTCAAACTGGTCAGCTTGCAGATGAGCTGATTTCATATGCTGTTACTTAAAGCAGTCCAGAGAGAAAGACAGATACTCTCAATCATTCCAATGTTAGACCATGTAAAAGTAAAGTGGTTATTGTAACAGAATTTCATAATGAACTCTGCAATTTAATCAGTTTTGAAGACAAATGAGAATTATGGAGTCAGAACTCATTTTAGAGCTGGTTTATTTCCCAGCATATACCCTAAAGGTGTATGACAGAGTGTGGAAGCAGGATGAGCAGATACAGGCTGTTCGATAACTGAAAGTTAGAGCTGAACAAAAACTATAAGAACTGTGGAGCACTAGGTTTTGGTCTGCTCTCCTGTCTAGTCTGGCCACGGTCCTGCTCAGGAACCTGACCAAAGCTGTCGGTTCTACACTGTCACCTTTCCCTGTCGGCCTGACCACAAGCTAGCACAGCAACAGTCTCTATGTACTTGTCCTATTCCATACTTAAAACAAAAACCCACATATACAGTAGCCTACAGGTTTTAAAAAATGTTAACATTATTGGTAAAAAGTTAATTTAAAAAAAGCAAGCTAGGTAAGGTATATTTACTCGTGACATGCTCGCCAGAATTTAATCTAACCAAATTTAATCTAACCAAATTTAATTTCAGTTGTTATCCACTTCAAACAAGGATAACAGTTTTAAGGTGCCTTACAATCTGAATCTATGTAAATATTAGCGCAAAGTATGCTACGTGTGTACAAGTCCTTTTGTTTATGAGAAAAGTGACTCATTTCGGTACTGCTAGCCAAGCTTGCTTTCATACAACAGCTAACAGCATTAGCTAGGAGCTGCAAGTTAGCTAATAGTTACGGCATATTTTGTCCCTGTTAGCGAGCACCTCTTAGCCTGGTAATATTAGGTCACAATCCACTATGTTAATGCACAATAGCCGCGTTAAGCTATTTGTTAAGTACGTCAGACAATCAAACACCTTCTGTCCCCGAAAGAATCGTTGTAAGACGTGAATAAAACTTAGCAATAAGACAAAAATTTCATTTTCCAGTTCAAAATATTCTCACAGAACCAGCTGTAATATTTCTCACAAGTCATAAGTCTATAATAAAAGTAAAATTAAAGTATCAATGTATATAAAAACATTTGGCACAATTATGATAACGACAAAATTCAAGAGTGTGCAGGATAATGTAAAAAACATAAAGTTAGCCGTTTAAGCAAAATCTCGTAGAGGAGAAACAGAATAATAAAATGGATAAATACGCAGATTCACATTTGAAGGTAAGAAAACCGCAATGATTTCTTTACCTTTACCAAAGCAAATAATACTTAATGCATACATCTGTGATATTTAATACATAAACACTCGTAACATTGACTTGTGTGTATTTTGTTGCAACACTTTGGGCCTGGGTGAGTTTCCAAGGTGATCTAAGAGTTTATCAAATTAATAACTTGATTCATAAATGAGATCAGTTGTCACTTGTGAATAATCTGTTAGAATCAAGGAAGCAAATACATCAAAGCTTTCATCTTTGGTTTCTTGCTTTGAAGCTCATTGAATAAAAGACAAAGAGGCCCAACTCACTACATATCCTATATTTTATATTTTCAACATGTTGCCCCATCAAAAACTGGTCCCACAGTGGGTAGTGTAACAAATACTGATCCAAAGGTTAGCAGTGATCTCTTCAATACTGACGACAGGATGGCTTTTGATGTAACGCG